TTGCTACGGATGTAATTTTTACAGACCTCTTGAGATACCCTTATAGACACAAAGATAGAATGAAAGGAGGTTGGGAGCTCGATTAGGTCAGTGGAGGTTTCCGGGAGCCGCCCTTTGGGGCCGAGGCGCTTCCCCCCCACTCTACAGAGGGCGCTGTGGGCACCTCAGCCACACGGCCCCGCAGCATCCCCGGGGAGGAGCCTCTCCTGTAGCCGCCGCCGCCTCCGCGATCGCAAACCCGGAAGAAGCCTCTGGTAGCTGGACTGTGCCGGCCGGCCTGGCACTGCCATGCATCCCATGGAGGTAGGTCTGGTTCCCGCTCCAGCGAGGGAGCCGAGACTGACCCGCTGGCTGCTGAGAGGCAGTGGGATCTTGGCGCACCTGATAGCTTTGGGCTTCACCATCTTTCTGACTGTGCTGTCCCGGCCCGGAACCAGTGAGTGTGCGAGGCGAGGTGGGGCGGGGCCATATAAGGGGGCGGGGCCTACGCGCTTGAGGGGCGGCTTTGGGCGCACTTGGAGATGCGAAGCCGGGACCCTCAGCTAAGGAGGGGCGGGTCCTGGAGTGGTTGTAAAGGCATAGTGGGCGGGGCCCCGGAAGCCCTGGGAGGGTGGGGCTTGAAAAGACAGAACTTCCTTAGAAGGAGGCCCATGTGGAAAAGCCTTGGGGGGGGGACCTGAGCAGACTAAGGTACTCTAGGGCTGGGCAGGCAGCAAATGCAGACCCCAGGCCAAGGTGATGTAAGGCCCCCCTGGCCCCTATCTCTTTATGGTGAGTTCCTGATTCTTGTTTAGGCTTAAGATGGTATGCTGACCTTTCCCTTGTGGCCAGGTCTTTGCCGTTTACAGACCACGGTATAGATAGGATCAGTGGTGCCCAGCCGTCAGCCTGTTCTCTTTGATTCTTACTTAGGTCTTTTCTCCTGGCACCCTGTGTTCATGGCCTTGGCGGTGAGTTTGGATATACTTAGCTTAACCCTTGGGGAGGCATTCAATTTTTCAGCCTAAGAATCAGAGAGATGGGTATAAAGAGGGCTTCCTCTTTCCCTAAAACCAATAGGATTGGGGAAAGCAGAATCAAGTGTCAGGTGGCTGAGAAGGTCGGGGAGGGGGTCACAAAAGATATTTCTCTGGTGCCTAAAAGGAAGACACAAGAGGGATGGTATCAAGGCCTTGCCCTCAGAATTCAGTAGAAACGTGTTTGCTGTTCCGTGGTCCAGAAAGGATGTGTGTGAGGCTGCAAGTACTTTAGCTTCCCCATGTCTTTCTGGATGTGTGAGAAGACCTCCGTTTTCTCAGGCTCCATGCAGACTAGAGGCTCACTGGCCTTTTCCTGTGATTACAGTTCTGTCTCTGCATGGCTGAAGCTATTCTACTCTTCTCACCTGAGCACTCCCTGTTTTTCTTCTGCTCCCGAAAGACCCGGATTCGACTCCACTGGGCAGGGCAGACCATGGCCATCCTCTGTGCTGTCCTAGGCTTGGGCTTCATCATTTCTAGCAAGATCCGAAGTGAGCTGTCCCATCTGGTCTCCTGGCACAGCTGGATAGGAGCCTTGACACTGTTGGCCACTGGTGGACAGGCACTGTGTGGGCTGGGCCTCCTCTGTCCACGAGCAGCCCGGGTCTCAAGGGTGGCGCGCCTCAAGCTCTACCATCTGACGTGTGGCCTGGTTGTCTACCTGATGGCTACAGTAACCGTGCTTTTGGGCATGTACTCAGTGTGGTTCCAGGCCCAGATCAAAGGTGCAGCCTGGTACCTGTGTCTGGTACTACCATTGTACCCAGCCCTGGTGATCATGCACCAGATCTCCAGCTCCTACTTGCCAAGGAAGAAAGTGGATATATGAATGCCTCCAGACTGTGAATCTAGGTGGGATTCTTGCCTTGGATTTTAACAGTTCCTTGGTGATCTTCACAGGACCCGCTTCAGAAGTAGATGAATATTTGCACTTGATGGCTGAGCCACAGCGGGCAGAAACCCCAGCTGCTACTGTTAAGGCATGATCCAGTAGGCTCAAATGGGGAATGTCCTACCGTGTTCAAGTGGAAGGTTATGGAGAACCTGAAACCTCACCCTTGATGGGAGACACAAGTATTAGGTGGTGGTGGAGGTGATGGTGATGGTGGTGATTTCTGGCTTGTGTGCCTGATGAAGAGTTCTTGTCGATTATGAATGACAGCCAAGATACTGGGGTCCCTGGTGAGAAACCAATGCTATGGAGAGCCTGTGATCTCTTAGGCAGTGCTGTACAATCAACCTTAGACAAGTTCCATATCTCAGGACCTCCGTTTCCGTACCTGAAAGTCCCTTATCGTTAACACTGGTGTCTGACAGATTGATGTCGCTGATACCCTCTTAGCTCTGGACCATGTGGGCAGCTCAGGATGTAATTCTTTCATCCATTCTCCCTTTACTCCCCTGGAAGGACCCTTCAGAAATCATGCAGACTTGGCTCCTGAACCAAGAAACAAGGAACCCAGGTGAAGGTCTCCTGGACAATAAGGTAGTAAAGGCACTGAAGTCACTTTAAGTTCTTTGGAGGAACTGACGGCATTGTCCTTACCAAGCCCTTGACTCTTGGGCTCCTTAGCTGAGCTAAGAACTTCCTTCAGGCTACCTCTGGGTATGCTCCTGACATTCATTCTCAGGGTGGAGTGGTCCTGGGCATCTTATACTTTGCCCTTAGGGCTTAGAGTGTTTATTCAGCACATAGCTCCATGGAACTAGTCTGAAGCTTTTAGAACAAAATAAAAACCAAGGAGTAGGCCCCTCTTGACCTAAGGAAAACTGTCTCTCCGTGTTGCCCTTCTTTCCTTGTCGTTTAAGCTTTCTTTAGTTGCTGTCTCCTGCCAGCCGGCCCTAAGAGTGGGATGATGTTGATACCAACTGTGCTCTTCCCTGCCAGTATACCTCCTTGATCCAGCTGAGTTCCCCAGAGCATCCTTTGTTGTGAGGGCTAGATGTCAAACTAGTTAGCTGTGGTGTAGGTCAGTCTAGGAGATGGGTCCTCTGTAGATCCTAATAAGGACTGAAGACTGCTGAACCAGGAAAAGTATCCATGCAGCTTTCTACCTGGGAGATAGAGCCATATCTCAGATCCTCTGAAGATTTAAGGCCTCTTCTCCAAGTGGGTCAGGAACAAGGCAAGTGGGACTCAGTAGTACAGGAATGGGGACTAGGGAGCAGAAGTATTCTCTCAGTGGACCTCACCATGCTTTCCTCAGGTAGCTAGCATAACTCTCTAAATACAGCTTGCTGAACAGAGACCCCTGCAGTACAGAGGGGAACTGTTCTTGTCTTTTTCAAAGCCCTCTCTCCCTCTCAAGCCATCCAGTGTGCTGTGATCTTGGAGGGAATGGTTACCCGGCCGCATGAAAGTGATTCTCACTAGGGTCACTTTGATAAAGGGCTCCCATCTCCTTCCCTCATTAAGGCCAGTGCTGGGGGCTCCCTAGGGTGGACCAGGTAAGGTTCAGCAGCTTGTTCTCAGAGCACAGAGGCAATGCCAGAAAGCCTGAGCTTGCCTGAGGTGTTGCCTCCTCCCAGGTGGTGCGGGGGCTGGTGGGCGGGCAGGCAGGCGTGCTGACAGCCGGCAGTTTGCGTGGGCTGTGCCATCTGATGTCTATTCCCAGCCCCGGGAGGAAGGGGAGTCATTTATATTCTGCAGGAAGAAGGGACCCAGCTGTCGCTTCCTCTGACCAGTGGGCCTGGAGGGCATCGGTGCAGAGCAGAGAGGAAGGTACAGGTAGTGGTGGTCTCCTGCTTAGGGATCTGACCGTAGTGTAGGGGGCAGGGCAACAGGAGGACCCCTTCTTCCTGTTAGGTCAGATTGGGGGCGGGGCTTACCTCCCTCGTGTCTTTCCACTTTCCCATCAGCACCTGCCCTCACATCCTAGGGCAGCAGCTGGACAACCATTAGTCCTCAGTGCCAGGGTACTCTTCCTCCAGCTGGGATCTGAGGCTGCCAGCTGCGTATGCCTCCTGGCTGTATGCTCCCTCTTCCCCACACCTAATGTCTGGATACTACCTGGGCTTCTCAGTAACAAGGAAGGGGCCTTAGTAGGAACACAAATTGCTGTCCTTTGGCCATGTTCCTTGACTAGGGAAAGCTAGTAGTCAGCCTGTTTTGCTTTTTCAAGGGGACACTCAGGATGCTCAAGATTTAAAAAAAAAAATCGTCCATCATTTGCACAAATTTCCATATCATGCTAAGTTCTGATTCCATGTTTGATTTTGTTCCAAGCTTGATTATATTCAGACTCAACCTTGAGGGCATTAGATAGATAGTTTGTATCAAACCCAAATGGTAATGGGCACACTGTCTGGAGTCCTCTCAGGAGCCCCTTTGTTCCTGTATCCTCCCATTGCGGTTGGGGTGGCAAGGAATGAATGACAGGAGCTCTGCATCTGAGAACTCTTGCTTCCCTCTCTGGCTGTCATCCCATCCAAGATAGGCCGCTATCAGTTCAAGATAGGCCAGCCTGTTCTTGCTCTCCCCTTCAAGGCAGGTTGCCCTTCGTCCACGATGCTGGCCTGCTCCATCTCTCAGTGTCCCCACCTTTCCACTCCCATGCATGGCTGCTGTGGGTCTTGTTTTTTAAACCTCACTGTGGGAGATCCAGGCATCCTCCCTGAGCCAGCTGGCTGCTGTGCCGAGGCCTGTTCAGAGTTAATAATAATCATTAGTTGAATGGTGCTGGGGCCTTTCAGCTCCGGATCTCTAAGCACTTGCAGGCTGAGTCAGCCAGCCTTCACCTTCCCCCTCTTCCTGGGCTTTGGAGTGTAACAGCATGGGAAGGCACTGTGGGAGAGGAGGGAATCAGGATTCTTGCCTGGCTATGCCAGAGGCTTTTCTCCCGAGAGTAAGCAGTCAGGCCAAGATACACAGAATACAGTGTGCTCAGCTGAGACGGCCATGGCTGTGGTAGCTGATAACCCCAAGCCTTTAGTGCTCCTGGGTACTTGCCTTGGCTTCCAGGGGCACTCTACCTGAATCCCTTAAGCGAGTCGTGAGAGCAAGAAAGTTTCTGGGTTGGTATCCCCCACAATGCTCTGGTCTGTGACTGGCACAAAGAACATGTGTGTCCTGAACTGGAAGGTGTCTCAGCCTGGGGTGGCTGCTTTATGAGTGTCTCGGCTCCTAACACTGGGTGGCACAGGCCAACTATTTGCTTCTCATCTTACCTCACAGGGATGTTGTGAGGATTCCACAAGAGAACAAGGTTCAAAGCATTAAACAAATGGAAAACAGATGTTATGTTCTGTCCTTTTCTCTCCCTGAGTCTGGCTCTGGGGTTTATGCTTTCCAGGGAGGCAATAAACGGTGGGAAATGGTGTTGAGGAGGACCCAAGTCTCAGAGGGGCTCTGGTAGCCATGTAATGGTCACAGTTCTTACTTATCTCTCCCTGCAAGAGATGCTACCAAGATCATGGTTACTGAGGTTTGTCTTACATATTGCTTACCTTGTGTGGTCAAGCCACAGGGTTGATTGTAGGTCTGAGTCAGTACAGCTTCCTCCAAGTCAAATCTGAAGGGTCAGGTCTCAGCCAGGAGTTTTAGTCACAATTTATCTAAATCTCTTGTGCCTAACTCTGCCCTTCTAAGGGAAGAATGGGTATAAAGAAAGGGAGGATCACTGTTAGTGATCACGGCACTACCACCCTGACCCTGTGTTTCCTCTCTGTAGCTTCAGGGCTATACTCTAAGTCCTAGGATGTAGTACCATGAAGGGCATGGCTTCTGGCTTCCAGGGGTCCACAGCTTAAGGTTCCCTTTGCTGTTTCAGTCGTCTTCCTGAAAATGTTTTACTGGAACTACCACAGACAAGTGAGCGTGCGCACAGACACACACACACACACACACACACACACACACACACAGGAAAGCAATTCTGTGTAAACTTTCAGTTAAGAGGAAGGATACTTTCCATTCCATTTGTCTGAGGGCAGGCAGCATTTGGCCCAAGGGTGGGTGAAAGCAAGCAGAACCATCAGCAGCATGCAGGCTTGAACATTTGCCTCTCTTTATCTTAATTGTTTTTTCTGTCCTGGGATCCAGGAACGAAATGATAGTCCAGCCTCAGCCATTTTTGCCTGAATGGCACTAAGAAAACAGAAGCTGAAGGGGGGCAGGGGAAGTGCCCCAGAACTGCCCTGCAGAGGGGTTGGAAGTAGGTGGTCAGGACTGGCAGGGCTTAATACAAACAGACTACCTCTGGTGGGATAGCCTTAGCCCAGATGTGGTCAGAGAACAGCAGCCCATTATTGATTGGCCAGCTATTGTCAGAATTCCCCTAAGAGCTTTTTAACCTGTTTTTGAAGCAGCTGAAGGAACCAATTCAAGCTAGTGTGGAATCTGGAGGTTGATTTTGTGTCACTGGTGACATAAGTGGCTCCCGGGACCCTATCTTTTAAAAAGGTTCTTAGTCACCTCCCAATGTGTCCTAGCAGTGATGCTTGGACCATGCCTAAAGTAAACCACACCAGAAGAGGGAGCAGTGGGAGGGGAAGGGAAGAAGGGGAAAGAAGTACTAGTCTTACCTAGTCAGTCCTCACCAACCTTTGTGCACATTATCTATGCCAGTGCAGGACACCCAGCAGTCGCCTGGTAGGATTTCATGTCCTGGTTCACCAAAGGATGGCTCTCAGGCTATGCTCTCTATGCTCCAGGGTCAGTAATCATACTGGCATACACCAGAAGGGAAGGCTTTAGGGCATTTCTAAGGATCCTGGCCATTTAATACCTTCTACCTGTCAGTGTCTGAGCCTCATGAAAGTGCTTGATTGACAGCTTTAGCCTTCTCTTTCAAAGCCCTGGGAGAGGAAGCCAGACTCCTTGTGGCCTTACCAAAAAGCCAACTGTCCTTACTGCAGGGCCTAAGCTTTTTTTTGCCATATGGGTGGGGAAAGCACAGAAATCACCACTGGTTGCCTAAGAGACAAGATAAGTGGTACAAATACAGAAAAGGGAGGAGTTGAGAGGCCAGGTGGAAGAAAGACTGGACTAGCCCATGGACTGCACCCTTATCCTGTCACATCAGGCTTCTGTTTCCCTCAAGTGCTGCCTGAAAGGAATGACAGAAAGTCTTACAAGACCCAGCAGACAAAACTACATGTCTTGTCCATGATCCAGGGAGCTTGTGGCTTTGGAGTGGGGTGGGCACAAACAGCAGAAGAGATACAGCCTCAGAGAACTCCAAGCAGTCTTCCCAGCCTGCTCTCTCTACCAGCACCATCTTCTGAACCAGGCAGTCAGGCATAGCAGAGGCAACTTTGTAAAGATGAGGAAATACACAGATGTGGACTATAGGCGATCTCTGACATCACTCAGCATCTGCATCTCACTGACTGACCTGATGTGCCTGGCAGTGAAATAGCTTCACTATTTCTCCTGAAGTGAGACAGACAACTTCCCAGACAGAACAGGGCTACAGTGGCTCGATTCCATACACATAAGAGGTTATGGTTATTACATATCCTCCCTCTGTGGTCTCCCGTTCAAGTACACACCAGGTCAGACCCCACTTAGCTTCTGCGATCAGTTGAGATCTCACATATAGGATGGTACAGGCCTAGGCCTCATCCTCTTGGGACAGTCCTTTCCAGAAGCCTCAAGAGCATAGCCAGACTTTACAGTTTAGTCTAGTTTCTGGAAGGGTATGTCTATAAGAGAAAGTAAAGATTCTGCATTTTTTTTCTTTCCATTCCACAGAATACTTAGTGCACATGAAACAGTCATTGAGTATTAACATACCCATGAGATGAATATGCTTTTAGCTCAAGATGAAAATATCCTGGTAATAATCAAAATTTTATGAAAGTGAGCTGTTTCCCACCATTAAGGGGAAAAAAAAAAGCAATCTTCCAATCCAAGCATTTTGCCATTGTACCATTAGAAAGCTTGATCTAGCCTTTTAAGAGAACCCTGTAGGGAGGCAACCCTCCTCCTTAGGGATTTAGCAGATCATCATTATGTACAAGCCCTGGCCCAGGGTATCTAATCTGTCTTGCTAAAGGCACTGTGATGCTGCTTTTAAGGCTATCTCAGAAGTTAGAAAACTGGTCTGTTGGGCAGATCAGCCCCTGCCTGAGTTTGTGTGGTCTGAAAGAATAGTAGCTTTTACTTTTTTATCAGGTTGAAAAAAACTGAAAAGACATTAACATTTTAGAGCCCATAGGTACATTTTCATTAGGTGCTTTGTTTTGACAGGGATTTGAATATGTACCTCAAAAATTCATGTCCTAGAAGCTTGGACCTCAATGTGGTACAGCCGAAGGGTGGTGTAACCTTAAAGACATAAAGTCTAGTGAGAGATAGTTAGGACATCGGGGCATCGTCCTTAGAAGGCAGTGATGTAGTTCTCATTGGGTTCTGGTTTGTTCTCTCAAGAACAAGTCGTTATAAAAAGGGCAAACAGACCATGAAACCTGTCTTTGCCCTGTTTCTTTATGTGATCTCTTCTGCATTTCCTCCCCTTACTGTGATGACACACACCATGAGGCCCTCATGACTTGAAAAACAACTGGGACCACCAGATCTTCAACTTCCATCTTCCAAAACTATAAGCTACGTAAACCTTTTCTCCCTTATAAAATGTTCCATCTTTGGCATTTCCCTCCAGTAAACAGATTGCTATATTGGGAGAGAACCACGGTCATTCATCTACACACTGTCTGTGGATGTTTGTCTGCTACAGCAGTGCAGTGGAGGGTTAAGAGATGGAGAATCCTCTAAGGCCCAAAATATTTACTGTCTCGCTTGAGAGAAAAAGTCTGCCATTCTCTTCTCTAATCTTAAAGCCTGGGTGATTCAGATTTTATACTTAGTTTCCTAGACCACGCAGATAACAACACTTAGAAGAGATTCTCTCTTTTGATGTCACACCCTTTTGAAGTATACTGAACCCATTTAGTATATGCTAAGGTAAATAAACCAACCACAAACTGTGCCAGAGCAGAGACTCAAGCCAGGTTTAATGGTCATTGTCTAGTTATAGAGCCCATGGGCTCTGAGGTTTGCCAGCCTGGTGTACACAGTGGGAGGAAGAGTCCTAGACACAGAAAAAAAGAATTACAAAGCAAGAACACACACAAACCCAGAAAATTGGTTTTGCTCTCCCCAGATGGGTCTATCCTTTCCTGGCCTTTTCCAGGGGCCCCATAGATACAGCAAAGAAAAAGATCACAGATAATTACACAGACTGTAGAGCCCTATCACATCCTGTCTCCAGAGAAACCTGCTTTTCCTTCCTGGGAGATACAGTTTATGGGTACAGATGGCGTGAAGGCCAGCCTTTCTTATATCTACACCTGGCTGTTTTCTTCCCAAGGTCTAATGGGATCATATATGCGGAATATGGACACACACATACACCCCATCTACAAGGACAAAAAGCTACCGTTGGGTCATAAGAACTGAAACCACAAGGAGAGACCAATCAGTTAAATGTCCTGGTGAAGCATCCAGACATGTCCTGTAGGTGTCTTGAACTAGGGCCCAGGTTAGTGGATACAGTAGGGAGAGTTAGGCTGCAGAGTAGGACTTAAAAAGAAAATAACCCTCCTGATCCTCAGGACCTGCTCAGCTAGAATGCCCCAGAAGGCAAACTTCATTTGACTTCCATTTTAAAGGGTCTCAGCCCTCTATGGTGTCAGGAGAGGATGCTGCCACCTAAGAGACTTTCTCATTCCCTACGAGTCTGAGGATGCAGGTCTGGCTCTTGGACCTTTGGTGATAAAGTCCCCAGAAGTCTTTGGAATACAACCGGTTCCTCACCAACCCTTATCTATTAGGACACAGGAAGAACAACTCTGCTTAGCCTCTGCTAGAATTCTTTGGAGTCCTTCATTACTCTGGCTCTAGCCTCCTGTCTTACAGATATGTAGTTTTTTAGGAAGGTTTCTGAGAAGTCCGAAAAACCAGCTAGTACCTCACCACCCTTCACCCAAAGGCTCTGGTGTGTGGTTCCCCTAACTCCAGCATCTGCCGAAAAGTGATTCAGCTCCATGGAGATATGGGTAAAAGTTCAGGGCGTTCGGAAATTAAAGTACAAGAGACTGTGCATTTGAGGAGCCTGGCGTGGTCACCCTCTCTCTCCTGCAGTGCAAGAAAACTGTGTGTGAGAAGTGGTGTGCATGGGTGGAGTCCGTTCTAGAAATGGTGGCATCAGAGGGGGCCACAGACTAACTGTCCCGGTGGACATCAAGGCGCTGGTGTGCATGCATACCTATGAGGGTGCATACCTATGAGCATGCAACTACTTAAGGGGAATCGCTGCACCGCTCTCTTGACAAAACTAGGTTACTAATAAAGGATGGACAGCAGCCTTGAGATCCCAGGAGCAGACAGGGGACAATGTTGACTTCAGTTTCTCTTCCCCAGTCCTTACAAGCAGCCCAGCAGGCCCTCCTAGCACTAAGCAGCCCTCACCCACAGGTAAACAACACCCCTTAGAACTTGAAAAGCAGGTCAGGAAACTGGAGGACCTGGACGACTTCCAACCACAGGAAACAAGGGAAAGAAAAGACACCGGAAAAGACCAACGCTGGGGAACACCTTCACCTCTGTCCTGCCCACCACCTCTTCCAAAGCTCAGAACAACTGCCTTTGGGGCCTGCAGTATGCTCACAGGATGCAGGGCACACTCATCTCTACCCAAAGCATTTCGAGAGCCTGGATGGAAGCTAAGGCTGGGTTTGTTTTTAAGTCCCTCTGCTCTGACAGTCACAACTGCACTAATCTCCGACTGGCTTTTCAAAGTGTAATGCCCCTTCCGCCTCTGTTACAAGACTGCCTGCCTTCCAGTCTGGTGGGGGGAGCGCAGAACTCTAAGCCATACTCTGTATTGCCATTTTGGGACAGAGACCACTAGGATCCAATCCTTCAGATGACAAAAATCCCACACTTTGCAGGAGTGAGACAGCCTTGTCAGCAGAGAGAAGATAAACATTAGGTCCTGTCTATCTCCAGACCTAGTCTAACTGAGCAGGACCGTACTTTACTGACTCCTCTTTGCAGAGCAGCATTCTATGGAAGGCTCAGAACCCTACCTGAGCTGATTACAAGGTTGTTGGAAGAGACGGCACACATGGAAGATCCGGTAGGTCTGGCTGGCTGCTACATCAAAGAGGCTGGTTTTCCCTGTTCCTACAGCAAGTATGGCCCTTGTGCCACAGTGGTGGCAGGCATCATACTGCTCTTTCTTCAGTATCCCCTACTCACATCCCGACAGATAGACACTGGGAGTCAAAAACTAATCAAAGCTTTCTCCCAGCCAGGGAATTAGCCTACCTGGAATTTATGCCCTATCTACAAGTTTTATGCTATGACAGGGACCTCTTAATTCATTCTGTACCCATCTGTGCCACCTGCCCCAGGACAAGGCACAGACACAATGTCCTATATTGCTGCCATAACTAACAGGCAAGAGGCCAGGCTCCTGCAAAGATCCACCTACTCAGGACTCCCGGGGAAAGAAGACGGCTCTAGTGAGAAGTCTCCCGGCAGCTTTAGGGAGTGTTATTGATCCAGGTCTCAGCCTTTTCCTGACTCATTTTCCAAAGGTTTCCAGTTCTCTAGCTATGACTGTGACTTCCCAACCAGAGAAGATACTGCAGCTTCCCAGCATGGCTCCTGTGGAGGCTCCCCCAACACACACAACTTCGCAGGTGTGGGTGGGCAGAGACAGAAAAAAAAAGTTGTTTTTCAAATGGTTTTCTCTTAAGGAGCTAGGGATGACCTCAAAAAAAGTTTAGGGAATCTGCTCCTCCCCTCAGACTCCTCCCCTCACCCCCTTTCTTGTTCATGTCCAACTCAGACGCATCCCTCCTCCTCTACCACACGGAGAACAGCCAAGGCCTTGGGTAGGGGTGTGGCATCTGCCTGAGGATTAATAGATCCATATGTGAAACTCACAGCATCCACACCCTCACTGGGGTCTTGCCTCCTCTTGTGCCCATGGCCAATTCCCTGGCGGTCAGGAGGAACCCACTCCCTTGGGCAGCCAGCCCTCTCTTCCACCCCCTCATATCCCTCAGGGGTACACTACCTCTCCTGGGGCAGAACCTCCCCATCAGCCTATGCTGCTCACACCACAATGGGTGTATCAGAAAAGACCGAGCTGACCGACTCTGGATCTGACATCCTCCGTTGGCCCTTGCCTGTTGCCTCGGGCACTGGCAGAGTGTTGCCTGGCTTGAGTTTGCCATTTTGACCCTGCCCTGGTCCAGCAGGTTCCAGGAAGGCCACCCGCCGGTCAAAACCATCATCTTTGTCCCCACCAGCCATAGGGTCATGGTTGGGTGTGGTACTGAGCATAGAAGAACTGAGGCTATCTCCTTGATGGCTGGAAGGCTTCTCCACACCCCGGCACCAGCAGCGGCAAGGGGTGAGGTATAGATAGATGAGAACCAGAACCACACTGAGGATACAGCCCACCAGGGTGGTATAGGCTGTGTTGAGGGTGTCATGGTGTCCGTGCAAGGTAAAGTTATACACTTTCAACTCCACAGACAGGGTCTCATTGAAAGTCTCCCCCATGGCATAGCAGGTATACACACCCCCATCCTCAACCTGCACCCCTTTAAAATGAAGACTGCCATCCTCGGACACGGTCACCGTGCCATTGGACCCCTGATGTAGCACCTGCTCATTGCTTGGGGACACCCACACTTTGGTCATCCCTTGCTGTTTGGTGTCACACCTGATGGTCAAGGTGTCTCCCAGGTGGGCCTCCCAGGCACTTTCCTTGTACTCGCTGCAATTGAAGAAATCCATACTGAAGACACTGTGCAGCTTCTTGGAATGTATGCAATACAGATCCTCCTGGAAGTCCATCACGGAGCTCAGCTGCCGGTACTGCCAATGGGAAAACAGCTGGTAGAGCTTGCAGTCACAGTCCAGGGGGTTGTTATGCAGGTACAGCCCATTCTTGACCCACGCTGGCAATTTCTGCAGGTCAGTCAGGGGCAACTTCTTCAGCTTGTTCGAGGACAGATCCAAGAGCATTAGTTTGGGTAATTTGTTTCCATCCTTGATCAGTTCCAGAGGAAAGCGTGAGATCAGATTCTGGCTTAAGTAGAGTTTCTGCAGCTGGGCCATGTCCTCGAAGGCATTCCTGTCCACCACCACAATGTGGTTATTGTAAAGCAACAGCACTTCCAGCGCCTGCAGGTCGCTGAACAGGAACTCATCCAGCGTGTGAAGATGGTTGGAGGAGAGGTCCAGGTACCGAAGGTTGGGTACCGGGAGGAAGGCCTCAGAGGAGATGAAGTTCAGGTGATTGTGGCTCAGCAGCAGGGAGTGCAGGTTGGTCAGACGGGTGGGGGTCCACTCAGCCCGAAGCCGGCTCAAGTTGTTGTGGCTGAGGTCCAGTAGTGCTGTGTAGCTGGGCAAAGACTGGGGCACATTGGGCAGCTGCTGCTTGGAGCAGCTGAGGATGTTGCTGGCACACAGACAGTTGGCGGGACAACTAACCACAGATCGGCCAGCCCTGACTACCTCAAAGAGAAGCAGGAACAAGGAGAGCAGCAGGAGCCAGAGGCTTCGCAGGTCACGCTGGGGTTGCATAGTGTCACTGGGGAGCGAGGAAGGCCACAGGATCTGGCAGAAAGTCACCCCGGCATGTTCTGGTGGAGTATGGAAGGGTCACTTTCACTACAGGCTTGGGAGAAAGAGGATGGGTTTGTAGTCACCAAGGACTCAGGAGGGAAAGACCACCACTCCCACTTTCCTCTCCCATCCCTGCTCCCTCCCTTTGGTGAGTAGAGAGAGGAAGCTATCCCAGGTAGTTCCCAGGCACAGTGAGGCAGGCTGTGGGCTCGAAATACTAGGGCATTAGAGGCATTGGCGCAAAGGCCCAATGGGCTAGGGTCGCGGGTGTAGAGTGAGGGTATGCACAGCGTGTCCTCTGTGGTGGCAGTGGTGGGGTGTCACAGGGATTGCACGCTTGAGGTTTGGAGGCGGGGTCACAGGGCCTTTCCGGAGGAACCAAGGGAAGGTCAACAGGGTACCGGGCTGGGAAGGGCCGAAGGTTCCCGGGGCCTGTGGCGCGGGTTCCCTCCCCAGAACCTCCGGTCACTGCACCTGCTCTGCGAGGATGCGTCTCAGCCCATGGCCAGTCCGGGAGCTCAGTCGCGGCCTCCCCCGTCCGCGCCTCCCCGGCCGGCCTGTCACGGCGCCCGGCGTACGCAGGGGCCCGCGCCCGGCGACATCGCCTGCGAGGAACTTGCTGGGTTCTGCGCCGTCCACCCGCGCCGCCGCCTCGCCCCGACCGCCGCGCCCGTCCACCCGAGCCCACCCGGCACGACTGCCACCTCCGGAGCCACCGGCCAGGCGTGAAGCAGTGCGGCGAGCGGGAGACGCCGCGATCCCAGCCGAGGGAGCAGCGTGGGGGCAGCGAGCACCGCGCGCGCGCCCGTCGCCGCCGCCGGAGCCTCGGGGCGCGTGCGCGCGGCGGGGGCGGGGCGCACGTGCGTGTGTTTGTCTCCGGCTCCCTGCGGACACGCGGGCCGCTGGCTGCAGGCGGGGGTCATTTCCTCTGCCATCCTGAGCTGCGCCCAAAGCCAGCGAGCGTGGCCCCTCACGCGCCTCTCCTCCCTAGCCTCCCTTTCTCCATCCTCTTCATGCTCCAGTACCGCTCTCTCTACCCAAACCCACTGTCAGGAAAAGTAAGTCTAACAGGAGTGAGTTCGCTGGAACCAGTGAGCTGACTCGGAGGCAAGAAGCGTCACGCGTCTTTTAATTTTCCAAATTAAAGAAATCTGGCTCGCGTCCCGCTTGTCAGTGTTGGCGGGAAATTCACTAGTCACGTTTTTGATGTTCCTTCTGCTTTCTCTGTGGAGCTGTGAAGGCATTAAAATTTGGGGGAAGAACTTTATTTTATTTTATTTTATTTTATTGTTTTCGTTTTTCTCTCTCGATTCTTGACGCCACTAGTCCACACATCTTGGAGTACCATTGAAGAACACAGCTGCTTAGCCTGCCAGTAGCTAGTCACTACTGGACTTAGGAGGTGGGTCCTTCCATAGACAACCCATCTTGCCTCCCTACTTCCTATGCAACTCTCCCATTTGTCTTCCTGAAGCAGTACCTGCACTTTCTGGTTGTCAGATGATGATTCCATTAGTTTCTCTATTAACTTAATTCTTAAAAATGAAGGCCAGTGGTGGGTGTTGAGGTGTTTTCTGTAAGATGGTCCCCCAAACACAAAGAAGCTGTTAATCATTGTGTGATATGGATGACTGGGGGTGAGGTCAAGGATGAGCGAAGACCAAGTCATCCAAGAATTCATTCTTGAGGTAGTGGACATGGAAGGAGAAATTAGCAAGTTTTTCTTTCAGGTCTTTTAAGTAGCAAGACCAAGCCTGAAATGAATGTTTCAACAAATTAGCTTGCTAAGAGTTTAAAAAAGAAAGAACACATATCTCTTCCATATTTTTACTGTGAATTTAAGTGACTGTATTATCTCTTCAAGGGGTATCAGCACATTAACCTTATGCACAAACTGAAAAGTATGCATGCTGAAAAGTAGAGAAGAGTGGGCGGTCCTTTTGGAGGAGAAGAAAAGAGGAATCACAAAATCAATTGCTGTCAAACACAATTTCTATTGGCCAGGAATTCCAGAGGCGCATGCTTGGCAGTCCTGGCTTGATTTCTCAGTTGCAGGTACATGTCATATGGAAGCTGTCATCAGAAGACTTGACTGGGACCAGAGAGCCAGCTTTCAGAGAGTCGCATGGATCCCTCAGATGCTTTGCTGATGTGGAGAAACCTCAGCGACTCTCCAGGAAGGTCAGGTCTCAAGACTGCTTAAGTGCCCTGACAGGACAACTTCTGGCAGGTGGAGAGATCCAGGAGCCTGCAAGACAGAAGACACAATGACCCAGCTTTTTCAAGTATTGTTGTCATCTCCACTTTGGTCACATAGACAGATCCTGATGGAAAGGAACCACACAAGGGCATAAAGTCCAGTAGAAGAGGATTATTTGGGGCCCTCTTGAGGTTGTTATCACATACATGGTCTCTGAGGTCACATCTACTTTTTAATTTTAAAAAAATTTCAAACATACTAAAAGTATGTGATGAGGTCATATATATCCACCATCCTTATTCAATAACTGACAGGAAAATACTATCATTGTATTTTATGCAAATATCCCTGCAAAAATGCACGCTCCTCCTATGCTGCTTTGCTCTCCCTATTCTTTCTTCAGAGCTCAGCATTCCAGGCTCTCCTCTATCCCTCTCCTCTTTCTAAGGTAAGGAAAACAAAGTAACAAAAAGGAGAAAGGCCCTTTGAGCTCGATATCAGTTGTAAGAGTTAGTATCTATGCCAGGTGGCTGTGGCACACCCTCTTTCCCAGCACTTGGGAGGCAGAGGCTAGGTGGATCTCTGAGTTCGAGACCAGCCTGGTCTACAGAGTGAGTTCCAAGACAGCTGGGACCACACAGAGAAACTCTGTCTTGAAAAACAAACAAAAGAGTTGGTATCTATAATTTGGATAGCTAGCTCTTCAGTCTTTTTTTTAATCTCAACTACACTTAAATTTTTAAAAATATGCATGCAAACCACTGAGGACTCACTCTTGTTAGCAGTGAGATTCTGAATCACTAGTCTAGAGAGGGGCCACTAGCCAGTGGTTCTAGCATGCTAGATATTAATGCTTTGGATCCATACACCGTGTGTTGAGTCATAAGGGGCTAGGCATGTGCCATTTAAATAGGTGTGATTTACTCAGCACATTTGGCTATTTGAATTAATTACAAATAAACAGCATTAGAAACCACATCTTTGGTTTTCCTCGCCACGCTGAAAATAGCAGTGACATGTGGCCAGCTACCCAATGGAACGAGGCATTGTCCCAGGAAGTCCTTTGGGTGGCACTGTGCAGAGAAGTGACTCATGATAACTCTCCCACAGCCGCTTTTTAGGCCAAACAACTATCTATTAATTCACAACAAAAGACAACCTGTGCAGGATAAATAGCAACAGGTTATTTATAGTCTGCATTTATTTCCTCTTGCTGGAATAGATCAACTCAGTACTGCTAACTACAATTTCAAAGGCTTTTTGTCTAGCTCAGGGCTTGAACAAAAGAGGCTGCTTGTATCTACTAGGTTATGAGACTGGATGAATCGCTTCCCTCCACACTACAAGTATTGTTTCTTCTGTTGGACTGACTGATATTGACTATTAGAATCAAAGTAGAGAGTTGTGAGGGAAGACATTCTTTAAGGATGCTAACTTTTGGGTCTGGAGATTTGGGGTTGAGGATATACTTAGTTGGTAGAGTGCTTGCCTAGCATTCAAGATACCCTGAGTTGGATAAAGACCAGCATGGGTTATATAAAGTCTAGCCTTAAAAATTAAAATTAAAAATAAATAATAATCCAAAATCTAGTTTGTGTGTTTGTAAGGAGGTGTACCATGTGTGTAGGTGCCCTTGCAGAGCCCAGAAGAGGGTGTTGGATCCTGGGGAGCTGGAGTTACAGGTGTTTGTGAACCCTGGTGTGGGTGCTGGGAACTTAGCTCCTCTGCAAGAGCAGGTGCTCTTAACTGCTGAGAGACTCTCCAGCCCCTGTAGGTGTTTGCTTGCTCTCTCTCTCTTTCTTTCTCTCTTTCTTTCTTTCTTCCTTCCTTCCTTCCTTCCTTCCTTCCTTCCTTCCTTCCTTCCTTCCTTCAATGTATGTGAGTACACTGTAGCTGTCTTCAGACACACCAGAAAAGGGCATCAGATCCCATAACAGATGGTTGTGAGCCACAATGTGGTTGGTAGGAATTGAACTCAGGACCTTTGGAAGAGCAGTCACTGAACCATCTCTCCCTCCAGCCCCTGTAGGTGCTCTTAACTGCTGAGCATCTCTCCAGTCCCCAAACTGGAATATTTTAAGTGTCCTTGTATTTTGTAGAGTAATAGCGGGAACATTTGTGTTCTTACAGCATCTCCAGAAAGCGGGGCCTGGAAAAATTTGAGGATATCTTGGAACAGTCAGCAAAAAGGACATGGGTCAAGAATTGCTTAAAGGGATAAAAAATTTAGTGCTCACCATTGGTGTGCACTCTCCTTGTATCAAGAAATTCACTTGCATTTTCCATTTTGTTTCATCCCCAATGGCTTTTTTTATATAAGGGAATTTCTGCGACCACTTCCCGCCTTATAAATTATCACTTGGTCTTGTTTTGTTTTGTTTTGTTGTTGTTGTTTTTGCTCTGTACCTTACACAGTTCTGAACATGCTCATACACTGATGCCCTTCCCATCCTAGAAGTGAATACTTTTTTTCTTTTTAGGCAGTTGGTGTCACACTCACCTTTTGCCACTCCTTGCCTTTGTCACCTCAGCCATGCACACTTCCTGAAAGTTTGTGGTGGTCTGCAGAAGCCACAGGATGAGCAAGTTAACTGGAGACTGAAAATGGATGGATGATGTGGGCCGGAGGGGGTACCATAGACAGTTTACAGTGCTCTGGGCTCTTTGGATTTATCAAACCTATCTAACGGTGTTTCATTTCATCTACAGCTCCCAGACAAGACTGCCCTGCCTTTATGGAAGTGATTGTTTCAGGCAACTAAATTATGAACATTGTCTTGACTTTTGATGCTCACATAGGCCTGCACTGAGTCATCAGATAGACATTTCTTGGAAATATATCTGACAACTTTATGGTCCAAACCATTATTTCATCCTTCAAAGACAGGATTCTGCTACCACAGTCTCCCTGTACCTTACCAGGCATCCCGGAGATAGAGGATCATTTCCAAGGCATGGTTACAAACAAGAATCCCCTACAGCTCCTGAAGTACAATCTTTTAAAGGGGATTTTCCTTTAAAAAAAATTTTTTTTTTTTGGTCAGGAATCTGAACATATATTTCTTTTCCTGTTCATGAACCCTCTCTTTTGATTTTTAAAGGCTTTTAAGTCTAAAATTAAATTTTAGCTAACTCTGAGACTTCTCAGCTAATTTTCATACCATACAGATTCTTGACTAGTTTGTATTGTGTTTGGAGAGCTTAATAATCCAGTTTAGGAAGTAAGTCAGGGTTTTTCTACTTAGGGACGAATAATTGTTAAACGAACAGCTAAGGATTTCTCTCTCTGATCTATGGCCATTTGATTAACTGATTGTGTGATAG